AACAAGTTGAATACAATTGTATACAGCCATGTTGTCTTCTTCTTAATGAATTTTGTTTACTTTTTGTTCTGATTCATTTGCCCTTTTTAACCTCTATAAGGTTCTTAATTTGACGTCGGCCAACACTCCACGGATGCGAACAGAATCAACTCGAATTCGGGATTGTTAACTATAATCACTAGATTTCTTATCTTGTCTCTGTTTGTCTCGCCCTAAGTCGAATATAGCTCCCTTATATGCTTATGCTTTAGAACCAGAAATTGAAGGGGCAGGAAAATTATGTCCTTCTCGTCTCATTCTGCATGGATGAGCTAAAAATTTTCTCACGCTTAGGTGTGGTGATTTATACATATGACTAAAGTGAACAATAGTTTAGGCTTCAACACATAAATCGGATCCTCTCAGGTCTTGGTGCCATTTCTGGTACAGGTTCTTGAAAAAGATCAAGAAAATGTAACGAGTCTGATATGCAAGCGGGTGCATAATGACTATTTTCTCATTGTTATTTAACCTACAAAAAATTTCGAGTCGGCTAAGTCTTTGAATAACGTAAAGAATTTACAAACTCTGATTACATTTCACATAGTTCTGATAAATTTATGTTCAAGGTCTCTAATTTTCTCCAATTAGTTTGTTCTTTCTTTTATCCATATTTCTCTACACAAAATCCTATCTTCGTCTCGTCCCTTGACACTATGAAATAATACATGAAAACTATTTAAAATGATAAATAATTCTTGAACAAAAAGAAATAGGTTTCATATTTAAAAGATCACTATAGGTTCTTATTCTAATACCTTTGTCCATTTTCATGTCATGTTTTTTTGGAAAAATATAGGAAATCTTATAGCACATGAATATGCCGTTCTGACATTTGATAGGTAAGAACAAATCCAAACTTACATAGAATTAGGAAACTACAAAGTTTATCATGTCAAAGACAATGATCATTTGAGAAGATACAAGCCGGTGTCAGCTAGAGGAAAGTCGGGAACTAGACTGATAAAATGGGCTCGACTTTCTTCAATCCGGCGTATGGGACATGAACCCTCACTTCCTGCTTCCATAACCTCAGCTCGAAGAAGGAAGAGATAAGAAGACAATATGGAGAATACACGATCATTTATTCAACCGAAGTTTCTCATTTTACAGATTTACAATGATTAAAAACAGACAAGTTGCAATGTCAAATCCAAGTTGTCATAGAGGAATCAACTACTCCAAACTCATCATGTGAGTAACAAACTTTAATTCACTATATAGACTCAAAAAGTGTAGTTAGCATTTTTTAAGGTAGAAACTTTTGTCTGCAAGATTGGCAAGTGATTTCCAAGCATCTTGAATCCATCTTTCCGATGGCCTTTTCCTTCATTTTCTCAGCCTTGTCGACCTCTTCTCGTGCTCGTTCCCATAGGGCCCGAGCACGAGCAAATTCAGACTCGGCCAACTCCATTTCTCTCCTCGAAAGCTCCCTTACACGCTCCGCATAAGCCTTTTCCATCGCCGCCAGTCGAATTTGCTCCGCCGCATGCCATTTCAAGGCCTCAACATTGCTAGTGTCAAACTTCTTCGCATCATTGTAATCTTTGACTCTTCTTATTACAACACAATCTGATGGTGGCTTGAATGGGCTGACACTTATTGACAATTGAAGGTCTAGTGATGGACCATCAATATGATCCCTCGATCGTAATTTAGTCGAGGAATCGGATGGCCAGGATGAAGCCTGTGATGAAGAAGGTGCAGTGTGTGGATTAGTACTGGATAGTAGCTGCAATTCTTTGTGACGTTCTTCCATTGAGGAAAATAATGTGAGGGACTATGCTTGCGCAATGTGGGCTTTATATAAGAATCTCATTACAAGGGCACTTCCGGAAATTCCCATGTCTCCCATGCAAAATGATTATACTGTTTTAGCATCATTAGACCCATGATTCCAAACTTTGTGTCCTCACTCCTTAATCACTTACATTAGTACTTCATAAAGTTATTATACCATACATTGTACTCAACCTAGTTTAGTATTGCTTTTATTAAGTTGACAATTAAATTTTAACCATAAGTATTATTGGAATCACAACTTTTCCCAGCAAATTTTATCAACTTTTATTAAAATTTACTAAAAATATAATTTTAATTTAAACCAAACNTATTGGAATCACAACTTTTCCCAGCAAATTTTATCAACTTTTATTAAAATTTACTAAAAATATAATTTTAATTTAAACCAAACGGGGCACATTAAATTTTTGTTTAAAGTATATATTTGAGCAATATAAATCCAAATCATCATTCATCAACATCTTTACATTGTCAAATTATTATTATTATTTTCAACTATCATACCGTGTTTGGCAAGAAATACTCGTCAGGATAGAATAATACTATGAACAAGATTTATAAATTCTTTTAATATTATTCAATCTTGTTTTCAATTGCTCATGGGAGATATTGAAAAGTTTAATTTTGATATCTATCTTTTTTATAAAGTACTACTTTTTTTTGTTTAATAATTGATTGAGGATGGATAGGAGGATTAGCAATAATTTCACTCGCACGTGAGAAGTGTGTGATTTGATTTGAGCCCTAAGAGGGCTTTTTGGTTTAAGGGCAAATGGCTTTACGGATAGTAGGCCCAAGCTGTCGGCCCTCTTGTTTTAAAAGGTGGAGAATTTTACAGTATCGGTCCCAAAATATTATCTGATATAAGTTAGTCCATAATCATTTACATTTCTACAAAATCAATTATATGATTCTTGCACGCTCAACTCTCTTAAATTAAGCTCCTATTTGATCCTCATTTTTTAAAATTCATTTTTTTATTTTATTTTCAATCATATATTTCATGGAGACTCATGAGTTTTAACAATTTTTCGACTGTACAACAATACATCAAATTTTATCGAAATTTACTTAAATTTTGAATTTAATAAAAAACCAAACATGAGCTAAGTTTTGGTTTCTAACTTGGTTGATGTTCGAAAATTCACATGATAATTTAAAATTGGCTTAGATACTGTCCATCATTGAGCACTAATTGTAAAGCTTGAAGACTAACTCGTTACTAATGCAATATGATGGAGTTTTGTGCAATTTTATATAAAAGCAATTAGCTTTTCTCCATATATAAAGCCCACGGTAGAAGACTAGCACGTGGGAGGGGCACTATAGGATGTGGAGTGGGAGGGTGCGGTAGAGCCGTAGAGGAGTGCGATGATTGATTGTGCTACATGTACATAATAATTTACAAATACATGATGTACTGAAATATGATTAGAGTCAGAATTTTTACAACCAAATGAAAAGAGAAAAAAAAAATCACTCTTTTTTATGCATCATTTGTATGTAAATCATAATGTAATTTTATTATGTACAAGTATCATTATTTGACGAAGGATTAGCCCACAATAATGATGATTTGGGTGTAATGAACTTTATACTTTGGATCACTCATCTCTCATCATTCAGGATGGAAGATTTGCACACATCAGATCCTGTTCACACGTGCCGCCAGTTAGGCTTAAACTCAACTTTCTCTTGGAACAAGGGTTTGGAGAGAAAGTGAAAGGAAAAATACTTGTTTTTTGAACTATTGTATTTAAATAGGTAGAGGTGGAAAGAACTTTGTCTAAAAGGTACATCATGGACTGAGCATGCATGATTATATATTTATATTTATATTTATATTTATATTTTAGTTTAAGAAAGTTCGTCTACGTGTAATATTTTTCCCATTGAGTGCATTGAAATTGAACTTTCAGTGAAACATATATTTGTCTAATAAGGCAGAGAATTATTACATTTGTCTAATAAAGAAGAGAATTATTCGATGAAAAATATGATTTTGTTGTGTGAGTCGCATTTCTACTCAAAAAAACCTATTTGCTCCTCGAGTCATGTTGAGCGTACCAAAGAAGTTCAAATACGTTTTGGAAATGAGTACGATGTTTGAATCGAATCCCTATGCAGGAATTCCTTGCTCCTCCAGTCATGTTAAGCGTACCAAAAAGGGTAATTTACATCGAAACAAGATGGCCAAAATCAGATACATTACGTGTTAAACATTAAACAAGAAAGCTAAATTGGCTGTTTTAGTCGTTTGGGTTAAGGAGGATGGGAGGGTTCACCCTTTCCGAGTCCATTACACAGTTTTGACTCTTGACTTGTTTAATAAAGTGATCCGTATTAAAAAATTAATAAAGTAATCAATATTAAAGAAGAAATAGCAGCTAAAATCGTATTTATTATCGTATTCAGTATTACGTACCAAACATCACCAGAAACTTGCAATTGTCTCCTTACATAACAAGAAGAAACCCAAAAATGCTGCTCAAAGAGTCCTTTAGAACACCAAAAACTTCATCCATAGAAATTTAAGTTATTTTGCAAGTCATTTATTCAGCCATACAACCATGAACCTAGCTAAAGGAAACCAGAATTGACTACTTATTCGTTCCAATAATTATTTAAAAAGTAGAAACAAATATATATTGAATTAGGTGCTTGTTTGGGTTTCAATGTAAGTACTTCTTTTCTCCGATATTTTTACTATAAATAACTTATAATTGAACACGATCCTTTCCTAATTGACAGAACAGAGATGGGAAGCAAAACGAAGGCAGGAGCAGCCTCATTTGCTCTACCCCTTGGGAGGCTACACTACCCCATACCATCTCCAATTCACAGGAATGCATCTATAAATCAAAAAATTATGCTTCATTGTACGAGTTGATAACCTCATAGCACATCCAATGGCCCAGCAGTTAGCTCAAACTTCAGCATAACAGCAAGGAGCTGAGGAAGACAGAGAAATGCTTGTACAGAGGAACGTCACCTTTACATGAAATAGCTAAGGGATTTCTTCCGTCTAGAGCCTCCTTCGCCATATAGTTCATTCCACTGAAGAAGCTCGGTCATGTTTATAGACTCTGACGAAACACTTGCACAAACCTGCACTCAGCACAGGAAAATGAGAACTCAAAAGTTCAGCTTAAAGGACAACCAGGAGCACATTTCGATAAGCTTGGAAAAAAAAAATACTATTTGGAAAGTAAGGACTTGCTTTTACGACAGTGATCTTTTGAATTATAAGTCCTGATAAAAAGTAACATTCAGAAGAACTTGTTTGGCAAAAAAATCCTTTCAAGCTTTGCCAAACATGATAAATAAGACGTAATAAAAAAAAAATCTTGAGATTTTCCACTCACTTGCTCATGAGCAAATCTGAAGTCATCCATGTTCAATGGCCTAATATCAGCACTCCCACTCAAAGCTGGCAGAGGTTTACCATCTTCAAGGGCAGCAGCTTGCTCCTATCATTACCTCAAAATGTAAGTCAAATGGTTTTTTCTCGCAGATAAGCAATGACAATATGATATTTTCTTCAATATTTGATCAGAAGAAAAGTCACTTCTATATTCATGATTCATGTTGCCTGTCAGCAATCAATGAAAACAAAAACAAACTATCATCTTAAGAACATGGTTTGGTACACCACCTTACCGGCTTACCAAACATGCCATAAATGTACTAATTTTCATTTCATATATCCTCAAAATTGATGTTTGACGTTTTTAATACCCTCTTGAGATTAAGCAGCGGTAAATCTCAACATCAATCATAAGAAATGTACCTTCTTTTCCCTTTCCAAAAGTTCTCTGATTGGACGATGTGCAGCCGTAACGCACAAATTCTACAGGAAAAAGAAGTGGAATTATAGAAAGCATAGATCCTCAAAAGTGTGGACAAGACTAAAAATTGATTCTCCAACAGAACACGAATCTGTTAATCCAACCTTCAGGTCGCTTCCAGAATATCCATCGGTCATACTTGCAACAGAGTCCAGATCAACATCAGGAGACAAGTCCTCCTTTGCTAGTATCACTTTTAAAATCTTTGCTCTATTAGCAGCATCCGGCAAGTTGACCATCAATCTAAGGGATAATAAAATAGAAGCAACATCAGGAATAATAGAAGTTTCTTAAGTGAGTTAGAAATGCAGAAAAATTCTAAGTATTGCTTTACCTACGCGGAAGCCGCCTTATTACAGCCTCGTCAAGGTCAAATGGCCTGTTTGTAGCAGCAAGCACCAAAACTCGTTCTGTATCTTTTGTTCTCAGTCCATCCCAGTTCACCATGAATTCATTTTTCATTTTGCGCATGGCTTCATGTTCCCCCGGGCTTTCCCTTCGGCCTAGCATGCTATCAACCTGTTAAGATATAAGAAGAGCTCACAAAGTCAATCTTGTGTATAAGATTCAAATAAATAAATAGGAAAAACTGCACCTATTGGTCCTCAACCTATTACCCAAGAAGCAAATTGAACCCCGACATTTAAAAAGTAGCAAATTCGTCCTCAACCTATTACTATAGTGCATAATCAATCCCCCAATGATGAATGTCGTCCAAATCTTATTACATTGTTTCGTGTCCCTCGTATATATAACATTATGAAGCTAGGTTTTATTCAACTTGGATTGGTTCCTAGAAATTTGATGTGCGACGTGTTCCTCTGAAGGTCACGTGACAATATATTGTAGATTCTGACAGATTCTATTGTTGGAAAGTGATTGTGCAATTATAATGAAATGTCGAGAACCAACTTTATTCTTTAAAGTTTGGGGAACAATGGTGCAATTTTCCCGAAATAAATATGCAAAAGTGTATTTATACAAACAAGTAATGTAGGCATACTTCATCAACAAATACAACACTAGGAGATATTTTGCTTGCCAGCGAGAACACAGCCTTCACATACTTCTCACCCTCTCCAAACCACTGCAATAAGAAAAATAGTGTGGGATAAGGTGGAAGTAAAATATATACAACAAAATCATCAAATGAATCCCATAATAGTCATCGGACAAGCTCTCTTATGAATTTACCTTTGAAGAAATGCTCGACATAGATATATTGATGAAGTTAGCACCAGCTTCAGTGGCAACAGCCTTTGCAAGCATGGTCTTTCCTGTTCCAGGAGGGCCAAATAAAAGTATACCCTTGCAGGGCTGCAAATGAAAAAGTTTGAACTGAGAGGTTCTTTGGACACCTAAAATGCGAACTACGAGCAAAACAATATATTGACAACTTCTAGACACGTTGCATGAAAGCAAGCAGACAGACTAAAAACTCAAAGCCTCAAAGGAGGCCAGAAAACTAGCATCTAAAAGCTCAAGAGAAAATCTGCCCAGTGTTAATGACATATCAGCAATTTTTTTCTGTTTGTATTAAACTACTTCTCGTGAGCAAACATGCAGTCGTCTTAATCGAGAGACCATTCCAATATATAAGATTAACTCAGGGCCTCATTCCTCAGTTTTTAATTAAGTAGCAGCATCACATATCATGGGAATTAATTTTTTGATGGGAGGAGGCGGTGCAAGCATGGAGAAAAGCATCCTATTCAAGCAAGATAATACGTGACTAAGAAAATAACATCAAGAGAGACCCCTATATAACTTTCATAAAGAAGGGACAGTAACAAATGAGCAGAAAAGGAAAAGGAGGTTCACCAAGACAATTAAACAACACACACAGAATAGCGAATGAACACTTGGTGTCTTATAACTTAAAACTCTTCATCATGTGGAGATGTCAATTACTGGTATAAGAGATTCAGATGTAAAACCTTAGTCAATTGACCCTTGCAGAAAAGTTCGGGTCTCTGTAAAGGAAGCATCACCAGCTCCTTCAATGTATCCTTGACACTTTCAAGTGCTCCAATATCATCAAATGTCACGCCAATATCACTGGGAGGAATGACATCTGCCAGAAGCCTTTTCTCGAACTCGTTCTCTGTCACAACATCCTAGGTAACGCAGAAAAATTAAATCTGTAAACCTCTAAAAATATTTTCCAACAAAGCTTAAAGCTTTTAACAAAAATTTTCTCTGATGTCAAGAAACACAACTATCACCTTGAGAGATTTCTTCAAACTTTTGGATTCATTCTGGATTGCTTGTAGTATTCCTATCCCATACTGGATACTGCTCAAGTGTCATACCAGTTTAGTTCCAATAACTAATTTTGTAGCCATCCATAAAAATGTAAGTGGCTACTCTAATTACCTCTCAGTAGATAAAACAAGCTTGGCATCTGTATCAGTTTCAGGGTTCCGCGTTAAATGATGCCATAAAGCCCATCCAACTACCTTCTCTGCGCCTAAAGGTTTCAAAAAACTACGTTATTAATTCTTGTTCACTCATTCTGGAGACTCAATTTTCATAGAAGAATTAGAAAATTTATCATCGGGCCAAAAAGAAATGCTTACTCTCATTTGTAAGTATCTGATCTTTAATGCACGAAGTATCAAGTCCATCACACTCCATTCCACGACGACTCAGGACCTATATGTAATAACATGAAGCAATTCAGATGAAGTACTGGAAGCACCCACAAAATATAAAGTGAGTCTCTGCATAGCCATGCTTGAATATTGTAAAGGAATTACAGATGCATAAACTAGTAAATTCGAACAAAATGCTGACAGTGTCTTCAGCAGTGTGTTCCTTATATAGTTCAAATCAATGGAACTCTGCTAAAAAATAAGAAATAAAAAGATCCATGTCCAGAGCTATTTAGCATGCTCAGAATCATAAAAGATAACTGGACATTGCATTCTGACTATATTACGAAAAATACTACATTTCGTTGTTATGATATCTCACAGTTCTTAAATTATTGAGATTTGCTTTCAGTTTCAGGGTTTCAGCATCTTGTTCCAATTGCTGCTTCCAACTAACTAGAAGTGCTTCATCCTGCAATGGCGACTAAAGTATCAGTACATAGTTTAAATGACAAAAGGTCCGTAACATGCAGAATTTAAAGAACAAACCTGAGGCGGGTGAATGGTCACTTTATTGAGGAAAAGTTTAGATAAAAGCTTGGTTGCCTTGGGAACGTCCTTTCCTTTGTCATGTAGTCTCCCCAAACTATCCTGAGGTAATAAAAAGTAAAACACGTGAATCCAATACGCAAATGATCTAAGCAGAGCCATAAACTATATACAAGATATGACAGGCAGAGTACATTGATAATGAACATATCCATGAAGAAAAGAACCAACACGCACAACATCAGCCACCGATTCACAACCTGACTAAGGCCAATGTTACATAACCAGATCCAGCAAGGACACTTCAATTAGCGTAAAAACTTTGATGGTTTTCCAAAGGCACTTCTGATCCAATAGAATATCATTATTTAAAAGATTTTGAACAATGTGAGCCCTTTCTGATAAGTTCTCTCTTTTCACAGGGCCAATCATTTGGTGTCCCAACTCCACTCCCGAACATTAAAAAAAAAAAAAAAAAAAAAGAAGGAAAGGAAAAGTTGTCCTGATGATAAAGTTCATGAAAAATTTAAAATAAAAATAACAGCAACTAAAGTCAAACTGGAGAGAGATTCTTGAGTCGTGCCAAATAAGATACATTAGCAAGGTCAATGCTGTGCCATACAGATAGATATTACATGACATATAATAAAACTTGCTTTGTTCTGTAAGGCACAAACCACATAGCAGGAAGTATAATTTCAAAATAGGACAGTAATGAAAGAGAGCTCCTTACAGGGAAAGCCAAGTCAAGTAAAGCAGTATGATTGCTGCTAAATTTGGTGAAAAGCAAACTGCTAGGATGTGACTGCACGATGGAAAACTATCTTCAGTTCATATTCTCAACTTGATGAGACAAGAAAGGATTTCATTTAATTTAAAAACCAAAAGGTGTCAATTCCAGAACAAACCAACAAGAAGCAAGAAGACTTCTAAATGTCAATAATATGTATCATGGGTACGATCAAACAACAAAACAATGGCATCACAAGAAAAATAACTCATCCAAACAACACTACCTTTTCCTTACGATTGTCATTCTGCGTGTAAGAGCCAATAATTACAACATTATCAGGAATCTTCTCCAGCTTGTTTCTAAATGTTACATATAATTCGGAATTCCCGGCCACAGATTTCTCAGCATCTTTGATGAACAGTATGAAGGGGGAATCTCTGCTCACCTCAAATACGGTCTAGCAAAGGGGAGTGAAATTAATTATTAGATTACGAAGGTTCAATAGGGACACAAAATAAATCATGAGGAAAGCACTCATTTGAACATGTTAAGAATCACACCTCAAACATTGTGTCAATTAGCAACTTGTCTAGATCCTCCACCCCCGAGGTATCCAAGCGAAGTTCAGTGGCTAGCAAGCAAAAGCAAGAGAGATAAAAAGTGATTGGAAAGTAGGGAATTTAAGAATTTTCCATTTGCACAAGAATACATTTGAATTCAAAAATATAAGCATGTCTGCGCATTACCGTTACAGAAGAATCCATGACCGTCACCACATAGACCCCCTAAATCAACTCCATCAGGTATGGATTTATCGAATCTTACACCAATTTTCGAAAAGGGATTGTCTTCAAATGGTAATAGTACCTTTCCTCGCATTCCAGGAGTTGGGCCCCTAAAGATGCAGCTAAAAGTGTTATGTCATAGGCGTAGTGTAATTCAGAATGCACCTTTTTGGTTATAAGATTATACTAAAAAGTTCCAGAAAAGAGTGCAACTGAAGTACAATAGATGTGATATCTAAAAAATCAACCCCCTTCAAAACAAAACAAGAAGTAAATTACCTCACAGACCATCTATAATATGCCAAAGTAACTTTCACAAGAATATATTTCGAACTTGTATATACTACTTCTGCAGTCATTTAACAAGTGCCTTGTGCCAAATGCAGCAAAGTAATGAAACCACTTTAAGGTTAAAGTTATGTCAACACTAGAGCAATAGAGATTTCACCATTTAAAGGTTAAAGTCATGATAACACTTGATTAATAGAGATTAAGTTATTTTCTGATCAGTATTCTCATCTACAAGCATTCATTGTTGCAGTTGCATGAAGAGGTTTTAGAACCAAAATGATAAGCATCTTAAGATCTCTGGTCATGCTTTCAGCCAAAAGAGAAGGCAGGAGAGCCCCTATCTTTCCCTCCATCCCCTACCTCCTTTTGTGGATTAAAATAAACCAGAAAAAGAGAAAAATGTGCAAGTGAAATCAATAATTTGTAGTTAATAAGCACTCACTATATAAAAGGATATATATGATCTGCATAGAAATCCAGAGACATTGATGTCTTATAATATTGATAAACTCAGCACATATTTGGCCCCCATTTTTCAAAACTCGTTTTCAACCCATATTTTATAGAACCGACAACTTTTATTAACTTTTCAACCACACATTTCACCAACTTTAAACAAAATCTACTAAACATCTAATTATTATTCAAACCAAAAAGGGGTTAATGGCATGTTTCCCATAAATAAATCTGCCAAATCAAGATCAAAGGAATACATACTCCCCTAACACATTCAATGATGTATTGGTTTTCCCCATTAATTATATCAAGTATGCATCAGAATACACATTAATGACACGATACTCGACAAAAATTAACAGCAACTAACACTGAAAAAATCCATCTATTAAAAAACTAACACCTAAAATTGCTCGTGAACAGGTTGCTCTTTCAGAACATATGAAACTTCAGTTCAAAACAAGAAAAACACATATAGATATACATATTAATGGCATGATACTAAACCAATTATAAATTAACAGAAACTAGCAGGAAGCCATCCATTCTTAAAACCACCACCATAAACTTGCACGAAGAAAAAGGATCGTCAAAGAATTGACTGTTTAATGAATTAAAAACCTGAATCAGACATCAATTACCAACAAAAAGTTTCTATTGGAAAGAAAGAAAAGTGTGTTATTACAATATACCTGGAAGAAGTTAAATGCAAACCTCCAGAAGCTGGACCAACGAATTTAACTCTATCGCCTAAATATTTGTCAACACATAGATATATGTGGACACAAGGTCAAAGTAAAAGAAACATTGTTAGTTCTTTTAATAGACACTGTGAGCGAAATAAATTCCTCTGTAACATAAAGCACAAAGAAACTTGCCATGTTTAATTGAGGGTTTCTTAGCCGCATTCCCTGAAGTGGGTAAATTGTCAGTTTCCATTTTTGTCTTCGAGTCTGAGCCAAGGAGAAATTTTGCAGAATCCGGGATATCTGCTTCAACAGATGAAAGTTCCATGCCTTTAGCCAAATCTGAGGAACCAGCAACTTGCTTACTACTACCGCAGACTTCTTCTACATTGCAACCCTCCCTTAATAGCTCAGGTTCCTTGGCAGGTGAACCCTACAGGACAAAAACAATTGACTAATGACAAGCAAAACGGTTTTTTTTCTTTTTTTGGTCCTGCTACTAATGTTATATGATCTCAATTCAGATAGTAGACAGTGGAAATTGCATGACCAAGAAACAATACAACTAAGCAATAAAATTCCATTTATTTGAGCATAAACTATTTCCTGCATCAATAAACTGGTAACTCGCACTTTTTATTTAATCTTCAGTGATCGTTTGATACTGGATACTTTTTTAACCTACACAAATCGGAAAAATATAGGCACAAAGTACATGGGTAGCACTATTTGTGAAGAAGCAGATACACATGATTATGGATTGCAAATGGATACCCACACTCAAAAAGACCAATCAAACCTTACATATAGACACATCGATTGTACTTTGAAGATATGCATAAATCAGAGTTCTATAGCAATAAATTTAAATGTCTATAATAGAAGTGCAAAAACCATTTACAGCAAAAATTGCCGTGAGACCTTATCAAATTAATTTGTCAGAAGAACATATACATGATATCAAAGGACTTTTGCATGCAAAAAACTCTCAGAAGATGTCAAAGAATTGCTAAATAAAAAGAGCTTGGAATATAGTTTAACAGTCTTAAAAGTTCACGTGGTCTCATCTTACACCCACAAATGAATGGCTGTCAAATATAAACAATTTAGCCCCAAAATAATGAGCAAGCGCCTTTGCCAGCATCTCCTGATATATTTCAGATCCTAAAAAACAAATATAAACACGTTACAATGTTCAAACTATGGCCGCAATAAAGCATTTAGCAGAGTTAGTGATATTGAGAAAAATATCTTAACGGAAAGAGACCTGCTGGACCGGAAAGCAAGATTCTGGGGTTTAGATTTGAAAGCTCAGAAGCATATTTAACTTGATCCTTGTGCTTCAGGTGTACATAAGAAGCTGCAATCAGCACATTTTTTGTGCTCTCGCTGCAAGTTGGATAAAATAAAAACATTCAAAAATTAATAGAATGCCTAACGAAAGTGTGCATATATTGTTGTCCACTATTTATAAATTGGAGAAATATGAAGTAGCAACTAATCAACTAGCACAACCATGATAATTTGTCCAATGGATAAAATGACAACAAGCACATAGCTCTCTTAACAACTTCGAATAAACACACTAAAACCAATTACTCGTACAATAGGATTCATCATTTAGCAAACCTCAAATAGTATGGGAAGTTATCAAATGAAACTTCAAGGCTGCCTCCTTCAAGAATTGCTGCAATTATGTCTTCTCTAAATGCTGATTTTCTCAAAGACTTCCCGGCTCGAGATGCCAGAATTGAGTCCTGAATCCAGTCTCTTTCTCCCACCACCTGCTAAGAAAATATTGTGCAATAAGTAAGAAGACAATATTCAACATCAATTGATGCTTTAAAAGCTGTCTAAACTTTATGCCTTGAGGTGGCACCTCAGGAGGCTTACATTTAACACATTGAAAGCTTACGACTTGAGTGCTGTTTATCAAGGCTTACGCCTCAATTTACTGAGGCTTACTGAAGACTAAGCCT